AATCCATGTTTTATCACTCCATGTTTTATTAGTCCACGTTTCATCAATTCAGTCCATGTTTTACCAGTCCAGTCCAGTCCATTTTTTATTATCACATGCCTCTGAAATTTCAACTGGTATCTTTAATAGTCCACATGATCTAGCTAAGGTAAAAAGCACTTTTTAAAGTTTCACCTTACATTCCATTTTGCAGTTCAGCTGCATCTCACCTTTCGATTACATGCAAGGAATACAACATACTTTTGGGAAATATCTTTCTTAAATCTAGCCCAACAAACCAGTTCAAAATTTTCCCTCATCTAAAGTGAAATCTGCTACATCAACATCGATCTTTCTCTCAACAGTGCGAAAAAATCCGTGAAAAAACATTTGTTGGCGGTTTCGTGTTGAAGTAAATTGAAAAAGACGCCTAAAGTCGTTTCCGTGGGATGCGTTGGTCTATGGAAGCATAATGGCGTTCTATCTGAATTTGGAAAAATTAGGGAAATCGGAAAGATGTGTCATGTTATGAGCATCGATGAGTAGCTTACCTGTATGGGCTGGTTTAATGTGCTTATGACAGAATTTATAATAGCCTGCGTGACAGGCTAATATTTATCCCCAATCCACATCCCCTTTTTGCTTCCTCCCTATCCCCTACCACTTTCGACACTTTCTACGCAAGCTAAATTTATAGTTGTCACTGGTCGCAAGGATGGAGTTGATCTTGTTTTGATCTATCGATATGTAGTTATTTTCATAGCACTATTTGGATAAGTTATTTTGCATCAAAATAAGGTTTTCCCGTGTAACTTAAACTGGAATGTTAACGCAAACAATTAATGGACAACATGCGGAAAATGCTCTCTGATTAACCTGAACAGGAACTATATGTATAAAGATACGTCATATCTTGGTAGTAAGTAGCCACAGGTAACTTTTTCAAAGAGAAATGAACATTGTAGTTTTAGGTTAATGGAACAAAACAAAACAAAACATCCGCTTGCTTTATCCAGGGTCGAACCCAGGGTTACAAAGTTCGATAAAGTTCCAATGTTTTAACCCAAGATGAAAGTTTAATATTCCAAGATGCTCTTGATACAGTTAAAAATTAATTGCAATGTGTTTCCAAGGTATCAAAGTTAATATAGTTCCAATGATTTTCCCTGATTCCAAGGTATAATAAGTTTACTAAGGTCCTGATCCGTGTCCCATCCAGAAGTCCAATCCATACCGAAAGCGAGTCGTCGATCGACGAGGACAATATTTTCGCGATTTCACCGCCAATCGTCAAGGGTACGAGATGAAATTTACGCCATTTAACCTCCCATCGTCAAGGTGTTTTCGATAAGAAAAGAAAATAACTGAACTCTAGCTGTGCTCGGCAAAAACTCGCGAACTCCGAATAGAAAAATCTATCGGAAATCACGGCCCGCAACCAGACGCTACTAAAACCTTATGAAAAAGCTAGACCTAAACAAAAAAGAATCATGACGGAAAGAAATAATTTGGCTTAGGTCGCTTTTCGTGACCTGCCACTATCCCGAAGGATTTCGCTGGTTAACAAGCCATCCTAAGCCACGAGTGGGAAAACTCAAGCGCGACAAATTTGGCAGCCAAACAAAACGCATCGCATTGTTCACCAGGAAGCAAATCGATTAAAAATCGATACAGAGTTTGTACAATCTGATTGGTCAGCTTGGAAGAAGAGATAATCGATAAAGATTTTAGGCAATCCTATTGGCTGGCTTTGCAATTTTGGGTACAACCGAACCGGATTTTTACCGTGGGAGTGCCACGGAAAAACCTCATTGCCTTTTCTCCCTTGGGTATCGATATTTCCCATGGTAAATTTATCTCGTGAAACCCCGGTCACACGCATCACGCCAATTTCCCGCGGTAAAAGGGTCATTTAACACGGTAAAAGTGTCCCTGCAACCGCACCTCCCTATTAGCAAGAGAGGATAAAGGGGCTAGCACCTTTATCCTCTCTTGCTATTAGTTATTGAATGTCTTCGCTCACTTTATTCTGATCATGTCTTCTTGCTCTTTGTATCCTTTTACACTTATAATACCGAACATCTCCGTCTCTCCTACACACATTTGTTGTTGATACAGTACTCAACTTTCTAACGCCATTCAACATAATTCTTACTTACACCAACGCATCCCGCGTATATTTTGGACTAATAGCGCCATTAAACTCAGGGTATATAGATATGGGTCGTTATCGTCTCCCTCGCAGGGGGATGTTTTCATACACTTTTCTTAAAATCAGCCGTTTGAAAAAATGAGAAGACATCACAAATTTCGTTGCTAGCACAAGTCGAGCTACCCAGTATTTCCGGCTGAAAGCAAACTCCCGACTTCCTCAGTAAAAGTTTCCGAGAATGACTTATTCATCACCATACTATTTAATTTACTTGTACTTACCGATGGCCTCAGTTGCTCGTTTCCATCAATGATGTATACAACCAGTGGAGTTGTCCCCTTCTCAAAGAACGTATCCAACACATCATCCAATGCATCATTTTCATTTCTCCCTGGGGAGTCGATCAACTCAATACCGCTCTTTAGAAAGGGGTGATTCAAAGCAATTTCCACAGTCCACCTAAGCTGTTGGGACTGATCTCTGCCTTCATCACTGGCCACGACATAGTCTTTAGGAACCTTCTTGTTGAATACAGTCAATGGTTTGGTTTCTTGGCCCATTTTGTCAACAGTTCGGACTGTATTCTGATTCGGTGTGTAACTGATCTTGACAATACGGGAAGTACACGGTGTTTCGTGAACAGGAAGATACGAACCACCCAAAAGTTCGTTTAGTATAGCGCTTTTGCCGCAATTTCTATTACCAATGAACACCACTGCAGGCCTTTTGTTCAAGGAGCGCCGGATCTCTTCCATACTTATTGAAGAAAACATGTTTGTAATGGCGTCTTTGTTCAGCTTCGCTTGGTTCTCCATTTCTTCTAAACATTGAATTGTCTCGTTGAATAGCTCGTTGGCTCGTTCAGAATATTCTCTAAACTCCTCCACGGACTTTTTTAATGTGTCCTGCATTGTCTCTGGTGAATAGGAAAACGAACTTTTAGCTCATCAGGCAACGAACTTCAAAGACATCCTGTAATGTATGCATCCTGGATCAGCTTTCACTTCATCTCATGAATATGAATTTGTCGGCGTTTCTCAGAAAGGGTTTAATTATTTATGATACAAAGATTTTTTCCAAAGTCTGCCACCCATCCCCCGCGGATTTTTTGTTTCATAGTATAGTGGAATGACCAGGATTCCAAGAGAATAATAATGGGTGTCAGTGTTGGGCAATCATCAGCAACTAAATATAAGGCCGGGCTAAATGGCTCGTTTCCAGGGTCTTTTCATAGCCATCCGTAATACTTGCGTGAAGAGTTGGGAAGGTTGGAGGGGTCTGCCCTATTTGCAATCATATTGTCATGTGTCCACCCGGGGGGGGGGGGTACTCCCTATAATGGCCTATACGGGGAGGCTCCGCCCAAAAGGGGTATCTTTTTCAGGCTTCAGGTATATGAAAGGGTAGGGATTTCACTAGTTGAAGTATATAAAAGGGTTGGGAAATCTGTCATCTGGGTCTGTGACAGGGCTCAAAGGGCCGAACGGATGAATTTTATGGCTTTATAAGGTCGGGACTGAAACGTTCTATTTTTGTGATTGATTCCTGCTTGAGTGGCAATGCATTTACAGCAGTTTAAAGGAATGCAAAGTTCTGAACGAGGTATATGAAAGGGGTATCATTTGTCAATAGAAGGTATACTAAAGGGATACCTTTTTGGTGAAAAATGGTACGTAAAAGGTTAAGGGGTTGGACCTCGGGGCGGAGCGCCCACGTATAAAACTTTGCTTTGAGTACCCACCCTACCCCCCTCCCCCGGGGTGTCTACATTTTCGATACAAATATTTAGTATGCATCCAGAAACCCTCAGTGTTCGGGAATTTTCAAAATTAAGTGCATTTGCAACACTGTAAGTAATTTAGTCTTATAGGTGCACATTGAATTGTGCTAGTAGGTTATCTCAGTACTGACTGAACAAAGAACGGCTGGGTAGAGACTATGTTGCTGGTCCTACCACTTTTTCCTAGGGAAACTGTTTTTTTATGCTTTGTTTATTTTTTTCCCCAGCAATACTTTACTTAAAATGTGTTAGTGACGTGCGACAGGCCAAGCCTAATACTTCTGTCGTGTCATTGTCGAAGTTTGATACGTAGGGGTAAAAATATATTAAAGAAGTAGTTTGAGTCGTTTGGTAGACACTGAAGACTTGAAGAAAGGTCCTGCCTTTCGATATTCCCAACTGTAAAATCAGCATTGCTTCTTTTTTCGTGTTTTTTCGTATGTGTCACGAGACTTCATACGGCCACAAATTCAATTCAAGAAAAATAAGCAAAATGTTTTGTACTGGAAGTTATTTAACTTTATTGGTGCAAGACAATTTACATTACACAGAGCTTCAACTAGAGTCCCATGCCTTAAAAAACTTGAGTGAATTTATTTAAAGATAATACATCCACAGGAGCCCATAGCCATTTGGTGCAAGCACGACTTGTCTTCTGCTGAAGGCGATTTTCACGTTCCATAATGCAATTTGTTTTCCCGACAAAATTTTGTTTAGGTGTTGTTTTCAATTTTCGGGGGACGACTAGTGTTAGTCCCAGGAGAAATTGAAAAAATACTTGCGCAAATTTTTTTGGGGGGAAACAAATTGCATTATAGGGAACGTGAAAGTCGCAAATTGACAAGAATAACTGATAGTAGTCATTTGTCATAGATAAGGCCAGGGCTAAGGTGCCGAGGGAAAAATATAGCATCTGCCCTGGACTAGCCCTAAAACATTTTTGCGCGGGCACAGTCCCCAGGAAAGGGATAGGGGAGGGAGAGAAAACCGTGAGAGGTAATCAAAGGCTCCTAGGAGCGAGCTCATGGATGAATTGAATTAGTGTAGAAAAGACAGTTCAATAATCAAAGAAAAACATATAAATCTTTTTCAACGGTTCATGGTGTACGGACTTGCCAAGATACAGCGTGACTCGAAGTATCCGATTGCATGTGTACCTGAATATTCTGGAAACTTTTTACCAGCGCAGCATTTCTACTTACAAAGCAAAGATCACTTTTAAAAGCAATCATTAACGCTTTTTAGTTGTAAAATAATTTGCTTTCTCATGTGACTGTCAAACACTTTCCGAACGACAGTGCACTTTCTTGTAAAATAGCCCACAGGCGGCCCAGACGTAGTATGTGTCGCTGAATGAATATATTAATATTCACATGGACAAATTAATGCGATGAGTCGTCGAAACTCCAATGAACTAAAATAGTCCAAAAATTAAAATATAACAAAATAAAGCTAAGATACCTTTAACTGAACGTATCCTTGTCTTTCCTGGTCGGTTTAAGTGGCATTTTGTTGAGTTTTGCAATTGTAGGTACTATCCACTATAGAAGAATTAAAGGCTGGCTACAAAACAAACAGACCATCTCCACGCGCCTTCACACGAAGCGCTATAAATTCGAGAATAATCGACGAATCCGCTCCAAATAACCATCGGCTAATCTGCAGGTAACGTGTGCTCCTGCTTCTGGCTCTCTTGCTCCACAAAACCCATCGCAACTGCACAATAATTGCTCGCTCATCAACAACCACTGTTGACCTTTACGCTTCGATATGACCGCAAACGACCAGGTATAATACGCGACGTGAATATTGGTATATACTTCATGGTAGAAAGCCACAAGTGCACCGGTAGTATACACTCTGTGTATTATGTAGTATTGTGTCTTCTCCCTAATAGCTAGTGGTAGTTACTAGTAGTTACTAGTAGTTACTAGTAGTTACTGGTAGTTACTAGTAGTTACTAGTAGTTACTGGTAGTTACTAGTAGTTACTAGTAGTTACTAGTAGTTACTAGTAGTTACTGGTAGTTACTAGTAGTTACTAGTAGTCACTGGTAGTTACTAGTAGTTAGTAGTAGTTACTGGTAGTTACTGGTAGTTACTAGTAGTTACTAGTAGTTACTGGTAGTTACTAGTAGTTACTAGTAGTTACTGGTAGTTACTAGTAGTTACTGGTAGTTACTAGTAGTTACTAGTAGTTACTGGTAGTTACTAGTAGTTACTAGTAGTTAGTAGTAGTTACTGGTAGTTACTAGTAGTTACTAGTAGTTACTAGTAGTTACTGGTAGTTACTAGTAGTTACTAGTAGTTACTGGTAGTTACTAGTAGTTAGTAGTAGTTACTAGTAGTTACTAGTAGTTACTGGTAGTTACTAGTAGTTACTAGTAGTTAGTGGTAGTTACTAGTAGTTACTAGTAGTTACTGGTACTTACTAGTAGTTACTAGTAGTTACTGGTAGTTACTAGTAGTTACTGGTAATTACTAGTAGTTACTAGTAGTTACTGGTAGTTACTAGTAGTTACTAGTAGTTACTAGTAGTTAGTAGTATTTAGTGGTAGTTACTGGTAGTTACTAGTAGTTACTAGTAGTTACTGGTAGTTACAAGTAGTTACTAGTAGTTACTGGTAGTTACTGGTAGTTACTAGTAGTTACTGGTAGTTACCGGTAGTTACTAGTAGTTACTAGTAGTTACTGGTAGTTACTAGTAATTATTAGTAGTTACTGGTAGTTACTAGTAGTTACTAGTAGTTACTGGTAGTTACTAGTAGTTACTAGTAGTTACTAGTAGTTACTGGTAGTTACTAGTAGTTAATAGTAGTTACTGGTAGTTACTGGTACTTACTAGTAGTTACTAGTTACCGGTAGTTACTAGTAGTTACTAGTAGTTACTGGTAGTTACTAGTAGTTACTAGTAGTTACTGGTAGTTACTAGTAGTTACTAGTAGTTACTAGTAGTTACTAGTAGTTACTAGTAGTTACTGGTAGTTACTAGTAGTTACTAGTAGTTACTAGTAGTTACTAAGTAGTTACTAGTAGTTACTAGTAGTTACTAGTAGTTACTAGTAGTTACTAGTAGTTACTGCTAGTTACTAGTAGTTAGTAGTTACTAGTAGTTACTGGTAGTTACTAGTAGTTACTAGTAGTTACTAGTAGTTACTAGTAGTTACTAGTAGTTACTAGTAGTTACTAGTAGTTACTAGTAGTTACTAGTAGTTACTAGTAGTTACTAGTAGTTACTGGTAGTTACTGGTAGTTACTAGTAGTTACTAGTAGTTACTAGTAGTTACTAGTAGTTACTAGTAGTTACTAGTAGTTACTAGTAGTTACTAGTAGTTACTGGTAGTTACTAGTAGTTACTAGTAGTTACTAGTAGTTACTGGTAGTTACTAGTAGTTACTAGTAGTCACTGGTAGTTACTAGTAGTTAGTAGTAGTTGCTGGTAGTTACTGGTAGTTACTAGTAGTTACTAGTAGTTACTGGTAGTTACTAGTAGTTACTAGTAGTTACCAGTAGTTACTAGTAGTTACTAGTAGTTACTGGTAGTTACTAGTAGTTACTGGTAGTTTCTAGTAGTTACTGGTAGTTACTAGTAGTTAGTAGTACTTACTGGTAGTTACTAGTAGTTACTAGTAGTTACTAGTAGTTACTGGTAGTTACCAGTAGTTACTAGTAGTTACTGGTAGTTACTAGTAGTTACTAGTAGTTACTAGTAGTTACTGGTAGTTACTAGCAGTTACTGGTAGTTACTAGTAGTTACTAGTAGTTGATGGTAGTTTTTGGTATTTACTAGTAGTTAGTGGTAGTTATTAGTAGTTACTAGTAGTTACTGGTAGTTACTGGTAGTTACTAGTAGTTACTAGTAGTTACTGGTAGTTACTAGTAGTTACTAGTAGTTACTGGTAGTTACTAGTAGTTACTAGTAGTTACTGGTAGTTACTAGTAGTTACTGGTAGTTACTAGTAGTTACTAGTAGTTACTGGTAGTTACTAGTAGTTACTAGTAGTTGATGGTAGTTTTTGGTATTTACTAGTAGTTAGTGGTAGTTATTAGTAGTTACTAGTATTTACTGGTAGTTACTAGTAATTGTCGGTCGTTACTAGTAGTTACTGGTAGTAACTAGTAGTTGCTGATAGTTACTGGTAGTTGTTGGTAGTTACTAGTAGTTCCTAGTAGTTATCGGTAGTTACTGGTAGTTACTAGTAGTTACTGGTAGTTACTAGTAGTTGTCGGTAGTTACTAGTAGTTACTAGTTGTTAATAGTAGTTCTTGGTATTTACTAGTAGTTACTGGTAGTTATACGTAGTTACTGGTAGTTACTAGTAGTTGTCGGTAGTTACTAGTAGTTACTGGTAGTTTCTAGTAGTTGTCGATAGTTACTGGTAGTTGGTTGATGGTATAAGTTATTGGTATTTACTAGTAGTTGCTGGTAGTTACTAGTAGTTGCTGGTAGTTTCTAATAGTTGCCGGTAATTACTGATTCGAGTCGACTGTTTTTATTTGCTTGGACTATTTCTATTGACGCTGTTGAAGTGAACGTCTAGTAATACAACAGAACACTTAATTTTAGGTCCCCCCCGGAAAAACAGTTAGTTATATTTTTCGTCAAGTTATGATGTTTCCCTTGTTGACCTCGTCTCGGGAAACATTAGGACTCGCGGCGTTCTCAATTCCTCTCCTTTAGGTTCCGTCAATGTGGCATGAAAGCAATGTTCACACAAAGCAATCACTTTAAGTAGACTTTATTTGTGAAAGTTTTTCTTAAACTTGATATGCCTTTACACAGAATGACAGGTTGGCTCATACATTCCATTTAAAGTGACATGTATTTCATTCTCAATATCATAACTCTTTTCCTTTAATTTTATTTCTACTAATTTATAAAATCATCACTTAATGATGTCGCTGACATAGTCATTTTATAAATTAGTAGAAATAAAAAAACGAAAAACGTGTGAGAATGACGTGAATGAAATACATGTCACTAAATAAATATGAATAAAGTCCAACCTGTCATTCTGTGAAAGGCATATCAAGTTAAGATAGAAGCTTTTCACAAATAAAGTCTACGCCGAAAGTGATTGCTTTGTGTGAACATTGCTTTCATGCCACATTGGCGGAATCTAAAGGCGAGGAATTGAGAACGCCGAGTTCTGATGTTTCAGAGACAGGGTCCAGCCAGGGAAACATCATTACTGTTTCGAAAAAATATAATAACTGTTTTCCGGTGGGGACTGCATCCAGGTGTTCTGTTATGTTACAGACTGCGAACGGCGTAGTCCGGCAAAATGGTGACTGCCGTACCGGCTACCAGCGGCTGGTGCCTGCTGAGTGACTGCTGGTGACTGCCGGTGGCTGCTGGTGACTGCCGGTGACTGCTGTTGACTGGAACTGCTATGACTGCCGGTGACTGCTGGTGACTGCTGGTGACTGCTGGTGACTGCCGGTGACTGCTGGTGACTGCCGGTGACTGCCGGTGACTGCTGGTGACTGCTGGTGACTGCCGGTGACTGCTGGTGACTGCCGGTGACTGCCAGTGACTGCCGGTGACTGCTATTGACTGCTGGTGACTGCTGGTGACTGCCCGGCTGCTGCTGGTGACTGCCGGTGACTGCTGGTGACTGCTGGTGACTGCCGGTGACTGCTGCCGGTGACTGCTGGTGACTGCCGGTGACTGCTGGTGGTGGCTGCCAGTGACTGCTGGTGACTGCCGTGACTGCTGGTGACTGCCGGTGACTGCCGGTGACTGCTGGTGACTGCCGGTGACTGCTGGTGACTGCCAGCCGCGGTGGGCTGCTGGTGACTGCCAGTGACTGCTGGTGACTGCCGGTGACTGCTGGTGACTGCCGGTGACTGCTGGTGACTGCCGGTGACTGCTGACTGCTGGTGACTGCCGTCGGCTGACTGCCGGTGACTGCCGGTGACTGCTGGTGACTGCCGGTGACTGGGTGACTGCTGGTGACTGCCGGTGACTGCTGGTGACTGCTGGTGACTGCCGGTGACTGCTGGTGACTGCTGGTGACTGCCGGTGGTGCTGCTGCTGCCGGTGACTGCTGGTGACTGCCGGTGACTGCTGGTGACTGCCGGTGACTG